CCTCTTGTAGTTTACAAACCTTCACCTCTCTCTTCCCTGATGCTTCTATTCTCCTTGTATCCCATCTACCTTTTACTCTCAGTGTAGCTACAACTAGAAAGTGATCTGATATATTTGTGGCCCCTCTATAAACATGTACATCCTGAAGTCTACTCAACAGTCTTTTATCTACCAATACATAATCCAACAAACTACTGTCATTTCGCCCTACATCATATCTTGTATACTTATTTATCCTCTTTTTCTTAAAATATGTATTACCTATAACTAAACCCCTTTCTATACAAAGTTCAATCCAAAGGCGCCCATTATCATTTACACCTTGCACCCCAAACTTACCTACCGCACCCTCTCTAAAAGTTTCTCCTACTTTAGCATTCAGGTCCCCTACCACAAATACTCTCTCACTTGGTTCAAAGGCTCCTATACATTCACTTAACATCTCCCAAAATCTCTCTCTCTCCTCTGCATTCCTCTCTTCTCCAGGTGCATACACGCTTGTTATGACCCACTTCTTGCATCCAACCTTTACTTTAATCCACATAATTCTTGAATTTACACATTCATATTCTCTTTTCTCCTTCCATAACTGATCATTCAACATTACTGCTACCCCTTCCTTTGCGCTAACTCTCTCAGATACTCCAGATTTAATCCCATTTATTTCCCCCCACCGAAACTCCCCTACCCCCTTCAGCTTTGTTTCGCTTAGGGCCAGGACATCCAACTTCTTTTCATTCATAACATCAGCAGTCATCTGTTTCTTGTCATCCGCACTACATCCACGCACATTCAAGCATCCCAGTTTTATAAAGTTTTTCTTCTTCTCTTGTTTAGTAAATGTCTACAGGAGAAGGGGTTGCTAGCCCATTGCTCCGGGCATTTTAATCGCCTCATACAACACGCATGGCTTACGGAGGAAAGATTCTTTTCCACTTCCCCATGGACAATAGAAGAAATAAAGAAGAACAAGAGCTGTTTAGAAAAAGGAGAAAAACCTAGATGTATGTACAGTGGACCCCCGCATACCGATTTCAATCCGTGCAAGAGGGGTCATTGTTATGCGAAATAATCGGTATGCGAATGAATTTTCCCCATAAGAAATAATGGAAATCAAATTAATCCGTGCAAAACACCCAAAAGTATGAAAAAAAAAATTTTACCACATGAAATATACATTTTCCCACACACAAAGAGAAGGATACATGCACAATAGTAGGGTAGTACATGCACAGTATATATTGTGCATGTACTAGTCTACTAAATGAAGAATAAATGACACTTACCTTTATTGAAGATGCAGCAATGACTGATGAGACACTGTGTCCTGGGAGTGCCTTTTCCTCCTGAGTACTGTAGGTCCTGTTTGGCATTTTCTTCCAGAACAGGCCTTATCACACTGTGTATGCCACTACGATTCTTAAATCTCTCAAACCAACCTTTACTGGCTTTAAATTCACCAATATGAGCACTAGTTCCAGGCATTTTTCCCTGTTCACCTGGGTGTTAGTCGACTGGTGTGGGTTGCATCCTGGGAGACAAGATTAAGGACCCCAATGGAAATAAGTTAGACAGTCTTCGATGACACTGACTTTTTTGGGTTATCCTGGGTGGCAAATCCTCTGGGGTTAATTGTTTCTTGGTATTCTCAATAAGCCACACAAACAACGGTGCTACAGCAGCAGCAGCAGCTGACGGTGGTACAGCAGCAACAGACGATGCTACAGCAGCAGCAGACGATGCTACAGCAGCAGCAGACGATGCTACAGCAGCAGCAGCAGCTGACGGTGGTACAGCAGCAACAGATGATGCTACAGCAGCAGCAGATGATGCTACAGCAGCAACAGACGATGTTACAGCAGCAGCAGACGATGCTACAGCAGCAGCAGCAGCTGATGGTGGTACAGCAGCAGCAGACGATGCTACAGCAGCAACAGACGATGTTACAGCAGCAGCAGACGATGCTACAGCAGCAGCAGCAGCAGACGATGCTACAGCAGCAGCAGCAGCTGACGGTGGCACAGCAGCAACAGACGATGCTACAGCAGCAACAGACGATGTTACAGCAGCAGCAGACGATGCTACAGCAGCAGCAGACGATGCTACAGCAGCAGCAGACGATGCTACAGCAGCAGCAGCAGCTGACGGTGGTACAGCAGCAACAGATGATGCTACAGCAGCATCAGACGATGCTACAGCAGCAACAGACGTTGTTACAGCAGCAGCAGACGATGCTACAGCAGCAGCAGCAGCTGACAGTGCAGCTGCAGCAGCAGCAGCAGCTGTACCACCAATAGTAGCGATGGTTGATTGGGGTTTATTATACAACCTGGCCAGCTCGGAGACACGCACTCCACTTTCATACTTACCAATGATCTTTTTCTTCATCTCTATTGTAATTCTCACCCTTATTGCTGTAGGGTTGGCACTAGAAGCTTTCTTGGGGCCCATGGTCACTTATTTTCCAGAAAAAGCACCGAAAACACTGTAATAATACGAAATATTCCGATTGTATGCTTGGATGTTACCGCGGAGGCTGGCTGGTAAACAATGCCACCGGCGGCACATGTGAGGCTGCTTGAGGGCGCACATTGGACGCGTCTCAGACGAAAATCGGTGAGCGGGTTTTTAAGCGGTATGTGAGGCAAAATTTTTGCGATTAAAGCAAGCGGGATGCGGATTAATCGTTATGTGATGCCATCGGTATGCTGGGGTCCACTATATATATATATATGCATGTGCGTGTCTGTGAAGTGTGACCAAAGTGTAAGTAGGAGTAGCAAGATATCCCTGTTATCTAGCGTGTTTATGAGACAGAAAAAGAAACCAGCAATCCTACCATCATGCAAAACAGTTACAGGTTTATGTTTTACAGTCATCTGGCAGGACGGTAGTACTTCCCTGGGTGGTTGCTGTCTACCAACCTACTACCTATATATATATATATATAATATATATATATATATATATATTATATATATATATATATATATATATATATATATATATATATATATATATTATATATATATTATATATATATACACACACACAATAAGATCACAGTAAAACAGGTGATTTCAAAATATGCAAAACAACCATCTCGAAAGAATAGAGAAATTCCAAGCGCTTTCGTGACTATCACATTATCAAGGAACTATGAAAGTTAAAGCATCCAAGGAAGCTATATAAGGGGTCTGGCCAGCACCTCAACTATCAGATCCCACAACGGTTTAAAACACGTGACGCGCGGCGACCCAACTTGGAGAGGTCCTTTGCACAACTCGCCCACAAAACTATTCTACCCAAGAAAATTTAAAAATTATTATTTGTCCAGTGTATTATTAAATTCTTCCCAAATTCTATTAATTATAAATGGATCTAATTTATATAAACCAAAGGAAATATTCATATTATTGTCAAAACTGACTTTTTATGAAACAAGATTCAATTATATTCCTGTCGACCATGGACTTGCTTGATACTACTTTCTCAACTTTTTGAAAATCAATTGGATGGTTAAAATCTCTTACATGAATAAATAGAGCATTGGAATCTTGTCCAGTTCTAATGCTATATTTATGTTGTTTTAATCTTAATTCGAGATTTTTACCAGTTTGACCGTAATAAACTTTATCGCAAATTTCACAAGGAATCTTTCATATATATATATATATATATATATATATATATATATATATATTATATATATATATTATATATATATATATATTATATATATATATATATATTTATTTATTTATTTAAGTAAGTTGAAGCTTTTGAAGAGTGGGGGGAAGAATGTCATCTGGCACTGGAATGGGTAATCATCCACACAGCAGATCTTTTTTGAGCTACTAATGGTTTTAGGTGATTTGACACAGTTGATCCCATAGGTTAGGTAAGGATGGAGTAGAGAGTAGTACAATGTAATTAGTGTTGCTTGAGGTACACAGTAATGTATCTTAGAGAGGGTGCCTACTGTGCATTCATGGTTTTTTAATATACGGTTTATATTATTTCTTTTGCCAACATTGCCAGTCCCCTTGTCTTCTTACGTCTTCTTTACAGTGAGTAGTTTCTATTAATTACAACCTCGCTTAAAATGTGATTTTCTTACTTAGTTTTGGTTACAGACTGTATCTGGTTTCTCCTCGTATATAATATCCCTTAGGTAGCTTTAATCTTTTTTAATTTACTCCATCCACTTTTTTTTATTACTTTAGTGGCCATCTTTCCAGACGCATGCTGACCTCACAACACAGATTACCCTCCATCTGCAGCATCCCCATCCTTTCTTCAGAATGCATGCACTACCCTCCTTCTTCCAAGACTCAAGTTTGGCTCACCGATTTTCCCAAATCCCTTCAATAAAAGTTAACCTGCTAATGCTTCAACTGCATGTCCATTAAACCCCATTTGTCTCCATTTATTTATATCTAATCTCACACACCTGCTGCATGGTCAAGTTCCTACAACTCAAAAGCATCTTGTATCCCCTCCTTCAAACTGCTCCTGGAACAACCATAACCTCCCCCCCCACCATCACCCCAGATTTATATGCCCTCTTGGTCATCCCAGACTATCTCAACAACCTCTCCTCAATCCTCTATACATACTTTGAATTTTTTTATTTATTATCACACTGGCCGATTCCCACCAAGGCATGATATTTACATCATCCATTACTTTCAAGCATGATATCTTTCCTGCCTCTAGACCTCAAGTGTTCATCCCATAGTTTGTCTATTTATTTTTATTTATTTTAGCATGGTTACTAACTGTCCTCAACTTGTTTCTTTAAGAAACCATGTGACAGGTTGTATAGCCCATTATTCTATAAAAAATACTTTTGTATCATTTCCATTCTTGTTTAACCTTTCATTGCAATGATTATTTATATGCAACACAGCAGTTATATTTCTATAGAAAATGTTTCATGTCATTAAGATTGTCAGCTAAATGTATGTAAAAACTTCAATGTATTTATTTAATTTCAGATTATATCTGATACTGGATTTTTATTTGGACTCTACACAGAAGAGGAACTTAATTCTCAAAATATAAAGGACAAAGATGCTAAAGTAGCCTTTTTGCAAAAATGCATCGATGCAACCAGTAAGTTTTCATTATTAACTCTTGCTCAATGATTCATTCACTTATTGATTCAGACACACATTCATGCTTGACAGATTGCTTCACATATAGAGCAGCCATGTAGTTTTCATTTGTCTTGAGCCTGTTGATCACACACACACGTGGCATATTTCTGGCACAAAGTGTAGTGAGGACAGGGACTCCTTACAATTTTACCTTGCCATGATTTGGAATAAGGTACCATACACAAGCATAGTGTACAGTCCTTATTACAACTACCCTTTTCAGACTGGATGTCGTAGAGAATGCTCTTTGGTATTGGCTGCCTCGGCTATCCTTCATCTTTCGTGCCCTCATTTCTGTGCAATGTTAAATTTTCTCTATCCACATTTATTTTCATCACCTCCATCCACCATTTTTTGTGTATATGACCTCCTTAATTGCAGTGCTCATCTTTTGAGTTATACTGCCACACTTTCTGTGGCTCTTTCTACATTGATGGTTTTTGGCTGTCTTTTTTTTCTTTTTGATATATTTTCTGTCAGATTTCGAGATTAGATTCTTAACACCACTTTAGCAAGGTACTTTTTTCCATCCATCATGCTTTTTTATTTGGCTCCTCACTCTTCTCTGCAGTTAATGACCCTTGCCATAGGCTTGCAATCTTTTCTGACACTTCCCTTTATTTAATCCTCAGGATCTTCACTTCTTGGGAAGCTGTACCTGACTCCTTGCTTCCTTGATCACTGGGTCAGACTACCTTAACTTCCTTCAGTGGGTTTTGGCCCAGTTGTAATAATAATAAATAGAGATTTTGCAAGAAGCCCATGGTATGAACAGCATTTTGAGTAGTCTTTTAAACTAAGTCTAAAGTCGCTTAATAATATAAAATGCATAGTTGTGGGACAGGTTAAGCTTGTGAGTGTAGTTTAAGATACTGGTCACAGCTCACAAGTGAACAAGATTTGTAATAAAGTTGGTAGAATTACCGACAATATGTAAAGTAAAAGGACACAAGTGCAACTAATGTGACATTTATTGTGGCAACGTTTCGCTCTCCAGGAGCTTTATCAAGCCATTACAAACAATACATGGACACAGAGAGTATATAAAGGCTCAGAGTGAGGTGAATACTAGTGAGGTACCATTTCGATGTTCACTAGTGGTAGTAGTAGTAGTAGTAGTAGTGGTAGTGACAAAAGTAATACAATATGATAGAGCAATTAATTCGTACATGAGTAAAAGGATATAAAAGCTATTACTTGGGTAACATAAAAATAGGTTGGACAAATATAAACTGGAATGAGGCAGCTGTTTCAGTGTTCACTCTCTGTGCTTTGTGTAGTATAACAGGAGAGACTATGTGATGGCAGGGTTTACTGTTTTCAGGAGGATTCTTGCTAAGACTTCGGAGATGGTGAAGCTGCCGTTGTTTTGTTTAATTGTATTCGAAACAGCGATCAGTGCTGATTCAAGGCACTTGCGTGTGCGGAAATTATTTTCTTTTATCACTAATTGGGCGTCTCTGAATTTCATAAGATGATTGGTGGAATTTCGGTGTTGTACACAGGCGTTGTTTAAGTTGTCGTTCCTACATGCGTATATGTGTTCATTGAGGCGGGTGTCGAGGTTTCTTGCTGTTTCACCTACGTAGATCTTGTCACAGCCTCCACAGGGTATAGTCAATGCAGGAGTTTACACTATACCCTGTGGAGGCTGTGACAAGATCTACGTAGGTGAAACAGCAAGAAACCTCGACACCCGCCTCAATGAACACATATACGCATGTAGGAACGACAACTTAAACAACGCCTGTGTACAACACCGAAATTCCACCAATCATCTTATGAAATTCAGAGACGCCCAATTAGTGATAAAAGAAAATAATTTCCGCACACGCAAGTGCCTTGAATCAGCACTGATCGCTGTTTCGAATACAATTAAACAAAACAACGGCAGCTTCACCATCTCCGAAGTCTTAGCAAGAATCCTCCTGAAAACAGTAAACCCTGCCATCACATAGTCTCTCCTGTTATACTACACAAAGCACAGAGAGTGAACACTGAAACAAGCTGCCTCATTCCAGTTTATATTTGTCCAACCTATTTTTATGTTACCCAAGTAATAGCTTTTATATCCTTTTACTCATGTACGAATTAATTGCTCTATCATATTGTATTACTTTTGTCACTACCACTACTACTACTACTACTACTACTACTACTACCACTAGTGAACATCGAAATGGTACCTCACTAGTATTCACCTCACTCTGAGCCTTTATATACTCTCTGTGTCCATGTATTGTTTGTAATGGCTTGATAAAGCTCCTGGAGAGCGAAACGTTGCCACAATAAATGTCACATTAGTTGCACTTGTGTCCTTTTACTTGAACAAGATTTGGTTGGTAAACTTATTTATGTATAAATCAGAATTAATAGTTGGATGGGTGGGATATAGATCATGATAAAATAAAAAGTAATGGTAAGATAATGTGAAAAAAAAAGTTGAAGTTAGTTGATAAATTAGAAGAAAGATTAAAAATGAGGGATTTGAATTGTGACTAATAAGATGGCAGCATAGTGTGTATTTAAAGTAATTACAGAATTTTGTTAAAGAAGTTAATTTTTGTGAATTACATATAATTCCATGATTGGACTATTTAAGCACATAGTACCTGTTTTGCTACCTTATGAGCAGGCTTTACATAGGCCTTCAGGTTGTTGCCACCAACAGTCTGGTTAACCAAAAGGTCAGTAGGAAAGCCTGGCCTCAGTCCGGGCTACGAAGATAGAAGAACCCTCAAAACCAGTCACGGGCATGTGGTCCTTCACTCACCCCCTGCCCTCCATTACTGTGTTGAGCTTGAATCTGCATGAGTTTGCTTGGAGGTCTGGTGGCCATTTTGCCTTTTTTGCCTGGAGAGTCTGGCAGCATTCTTTGGATCTTCAGTTCTGAGTTGTGTAGTTTTTTTTTAGTTATTGCTGTCCTGGTGTGTGCCACTTCAGTCACTTAATGTGGTTTTTTGCCTCATCTACAAACTCATGGCATGAAGCCCACCATGTCCACCAGGATAATTAACAGTATTGCCCTTGTGGCACTTTCTTGAATGGAACAAGTTTCTCCTCAAATGTCTGCTGTTTTATCTTGGCACACATGTTTTTCTTAAAGCCACTGGGAGGGTGGGCAAGCTATGACTCCTGTAATTGGTTGTGGTTTCAGAATATTCACAGCATGGTATATATGACTGCTTAGGCTGTCACACCCTGTCACATTCTCTTAATTTGACTAGATGCTCTTCATATCTGTGCCCTCCTCATTTTATTCAGATATGGTACTCCAACACAAGAAATAGTGGACCATTAATGATATTCATGTCTTTCCATATACAGCACCTGAATTGTATAGTTTTTGTATGTTTTTAAAGTTTTCTCTTTCTTCACAAGTTCATTGTAGTTCACCAGTATAGAAAATTGCAATGATGTGTGTGGTTCATTATAGAGAAAACTTGCAACTAATGTTTTGAAATTTGAACTAAATTAACTAATTTTTATATGGCATATTCTAACTAAAATATTAAATTTCTTAGTTTTAGCAACTGGGGAAAATTTATCGGTGAGACCAGCAAAGATTGTAGCCGGCCAAGAGGCAGACAAGACCAACGAGTGGCTTCAGGTTCTGGGCCGGGCAATTACACAAAATGTAAGAATATTTGTCATGTTTAAACTTTCTTGAATGTGCTTTCTAACAACTACACCTTTATTGCCGCATATTAATACTTTGTAGGAATTCTTTTATTCATGAGTATTGCTGTTTTGAGTCTTTATTACTATATATTCACATAACTCAGTTATGTATTTACTTTAGATGCTATCCTGCCACAGATATGTGATTATAATACAGCCTCTCCTCACTTAACAACCGAGTTTCTTTCCTGAGACCACGTCGTTAAATGAATTCGTTGCTAAGTGAAGAGCATACTATAATTTTTATTTATTTATTTATTAACAATTTGAGACACCTCCCGCGCACCCAAAAAATACAGCTAAGAGCAGCATGCCAAAGCCACTTATACTATGCATAGCATTATGGGCTGGCTTAAAATTAACTTAAGATTAACTAAGCAATGATGAAAATCCGAGATAAAACATTAATGTAAAACAGATTTACTATAAAGACAAGTGAGTATTTACCAAAGGACAGGCATATGGTTGCACATACATTGTTGTACATTCAGTCGTATGGAGTATTCTGTTAGGTAGTGTATTAAAAAAATAATAAGTTTAGTTGGGTTTTCAGGTTTACATTTATATGATATAATTGTGAGAAACATTTAAGAGTATACAATTTATAAGGTTCAGTTACTCTGTTTTTATTTTGGTTTTGGTGTGAGTAAGTGATCTTTGAGAAGAGACTGAATTTATAAACTGGTATTAGTGTTTAATTTTATATTTACAGGTAATGAATTCCAGTTTTAGGGCCCTTTTATGTGCATTTAGTTTTTTTTGCATAGTGTGAGATGTGGCACGAGGAAATCAAAAGAGTGATCTGTGCTTGTGTTTATGGTCATGTGTTCTGTTGAGGTTGGCAAGAGATGTTTGAGGGAGGGTTTAATATCAGTGTTAAGTTTACTATGTATGTAATAGAGTGCCAGTAATAAGTATAGATGTTTTGTATGGTGAGTAGGTTTAGTGTATTGAATATGTGGAGAGAGTATGCGCCTGTAGTTGAGAATTTGTTATCATTATACTGCAGTCTTTTTGGTTGGGTTAATTAGTGGTCTGAGGATGGTTTAATTGTTGTTGAGCCCCATGCACAAATTCCATAGGTGAGATAGGGGTAAATAAGAGAGATGATATAGGTGCAGGAGGCTGACTGTGGGCATAAGTACGTATCTTCGATAGTATGCCTACCAGTCTTGGAAATTTTTCTTAGAAATTTGTTGTATATTGTGCATGAAATTTGAGTCTATTATTCAAGGTAGATTCCTAAGAATTTTCCTCTGTTTACTTTGTGATAGTGATCCGTTATCATTATGTTAGAGGGACATCTGTAGCTCTAGTTACCAAACTGCAATGAAGTAGGTTTTGTTCAATGTTTAGTGTAAGTTTGTTAGTCCTCATCAGGTAGATATTTCTGTAATTTCGGTATTACAGTATTGGTAGCACGTGACTGGGCTCGGTTGGGAGAAGACATATGTGTGGTCATCTGCAAATAGTTGTGGGTTGAGTAATTGCGAAGCATTTGGTAGGTCATTTATGTATAGGAGAAAGAGAAGAGCAAGGCAGGACACTTCCCTGTGGGACACCAACTGTATTGGCCTTGTGCAGAAGAGTTTGCCCCATTTCATACACATATTGGCTTCTGTTTGCTGAGGTATGACTTGAGGTAGTTGAGGAGTGCCTCTCTATACCATTAGTGTGACAATTTTACGTGGAAGCAAATCATGGTCAAACTGTATCAAAAAGATTTACTGTAAGTCAATGAAGATCCCAGTGCCGGAATTGTTTTTTCTTATTGCAGTGTATATTGTTATAGCATGTGTATATAGCATCATTAGTATTTTTATTAGGCCTGAATCTAAATTGGGCAGGGGTTGAGTATGTTTTGCGGAGATAAGGAGGAGTAGATTCGTTTATGAAATTAATTTTGCGAAGATTTTTGAGAGAGGGTGTAAGTTGGATATTGAGCCTATAGTTTATTCAACTCTGTTTGGTCTTCTCCTTTGTGGATCGAGGGTGACCTTGCTATTTGAGAACAGTAGGGAAGGTGGGAGGATTCAATGGATTTGTTAAAGAGTGTTGCAATGATTGGTGATAGCACTTTGTGACACTTTTTTGTATATAAAGGGTGGTAAGGTATTTAAATCTCCTGCCTTGTTTTTTAGTGCGTTGATAATAAGAGAGATTCGTATGGGTTAGTCGGAGCTAGGACTGTGTGTTCGGGTAGTTGCCACGAGTTGAGGTAGTCCATTTGGTGGGGTATCTGAGATTGGGCTTTTATTGGCAAGGTTTTGTCCTATAGTGGAGAAAAAATCATTGAAGGGGGGGGTCTGTTTGCTGTTTCTGTTTGTGGGATAGTTTGGGGTTCATTGATTTTGCTAATTTTATTTCGCTAATTCGTGATATCTTTTGTTCCCAGAATTTTCTGATTAGGGTTTTCCTGGTTTTTTTAATATCAACCTCGTAAGTTGGATAATCTGTTATCATAATACAATTTTTTTGCCCTTCTTATCAGGCTGGTTGGATTCGAGAGTAACGTTTTGTTTGGTCTCTGGTTTTATGTGACCCTTTCTGTACTGTTATTCATATTGGTGTTTTGTATTTATGGATTTGAGAATGTGCGTGTAGCCGGGGACTGTGCAGATCTCTTAGCTGTATCTGTTTAGTTTTTTTAGGGCAGTGCTTGTTATAGAGTATTGGGCTTTTTTAGAAAATTATTAATACATTCGTCAAGATCTGTATAGATTTCTAGCTCAGTGTGCCAGTCAATGTTTGCTACTGCTGTTGTGAATTTTTTAATGGCTGCCTCATTGTGAAGTCTGAAGGGGACTTTAGTAGTGTCTTGGGGGTAAGGTTACCAAGAGGTGTTAGAGGAAAGATAGGGTTAGTGGTCGTGGTATTTCTGTAATTATGCTTGATTTTACCCTTGAGGTGACAGGCCCTCTCCGAAAATCGTTTTTTTTTTTTTTTTTCTCAGGGTCGGCCAAATTTAAAAAAAAAAAAAAAATTATTTACTCTTATGAAAAGATAGAGAATCTTTTCCCGATCAGTAAAGACACCAAAGTTTGAAATTGATAGAAAACTTATGGAATTATAGCTCTTGCAAAGTTAGCGGTCTCGGCGATGTTTACGCATCGGCGATTTTTGCCCACTTTGAGCCCCATTTTCGGCCAATTTCACTGTACTAGTCGACAAAAAAACATGAAATATTCCGCAGACTCCATTTTTTTCTATCGAAGGAGTGCAAGAAACCACCCATTTATAAATTCAAAACTATCCAGTTACAGTGTAGTCAGAATTTAGCAATTTTTCCAAAATCACACCAAATTTCAAAAGTGCCAATTTCGAATGGGTCCAGAATAAAAAGAAGACATTCCTGGCACTAAAATGACATTTCCTCTAGTCATTAGTCACGTCTCAAGGCCCCTCTTATATTCTTTCCTTTCCACTTTGAATTTTTTTTCTCACAAAAATTATAAGATTTAGTGTTATGCAGGACTACTGCATTAAGTGTAAAAAATGGTATATATATTATTGGTTTTGCACTTGTGAAAGAATATTAGACTCACCAGTTGACGTGTATTGCATGTTGGCCACGATTTGTTTACTTTTGAAGTTTGGTAAAATCGAAAACATTTCTGCCTACTTTGGAGCTCAATTTCAAAGGCTCCTTTCATGTAAGAAACCAGTCAAATAGATATGTGTACGGATCCCTCAATTTCTGTAATATGTCTTCCATTCTATAAACAAATCGAGACCAAGAGAAACTAGAATAAAACAATAAATACCCATACGAAAATACACTGCAAAGTCGTGATTTATTAAAAAAAAAAATGGTAAAGTTTTTTTTTTTTTCTCATATGCACTGTGTGGCTGCAGGATTTTTTTTAGACTGTGCACACTGACCACATAGACCCATTCTTTCATATGAAGGCCTACCAGCTTTCTCCCACTAGATTTGAGGCCGCTAGAATTTATGAGTACTAGTACGTCAAAAACCCCTACGCGTAAGACGTACTAGTACGACCAAAACCTCAAAGGGTTAAAGGGGATATGGTGTTGGTCAGATGTGGTCAAGTAGGGAAACACTAGTCTCTGTAACTCTTGTAGGTTTTGTTTACTGTTGGTAGCAACATACAGTTACTCATTGTGTTTGTGAATTCAGTAACGTGTGGGTCCTGGTCTTGCAGGAGATTTATATTGAAGTCACTGAGAGTAGTAAGTGATTCTTTGTTCATGCGTGCATCAGTTATCATACTTCCTAGGTTTTGACTAAATTGGCTAATGTTTGACTGTGGAACTCTGTAGATGTTTATCAATGTGAGAGGTTTTTGTAGGTATTTGAATTTGAATTTGGCTATTATATATTCCCCATGTTCATCCCTTGTGCAAGTATTAGTGATACATTATAGTTGGTCTGAGTAGTATATGGCTGTGCCACCCCCTTGTTGGTCTGGCCTACAGTTGTGTATGGCTGTGTAACCAGGAATGCCATAGACATCTATACTATCAGGCTTTAGCCAGGTTTCAGTTAGTGTAATGATGGACATATTGGCATGTAAGGAATTTAGTAATGCTATGAGGTCATCGTAATGCTTGCTTAAAGATCTGATATTGTAGTTAAAGATAGTTATGTTGTTGTTGGCACTGAGAAGTGCCTTTGATTGTTCTGCAGTGTAGTAATTACAGTAACTGTTTGATTCATTTAAGTCATTAAATAAGAGGTTGGTATCAGGATCAATGTTTGTAATCATAAGATTTGTAGTGAATCTATAGTTAGAATTAAGTATAAAACAAAGTAAATAGTCTTAAGCTAAAAAATAGCACCTGAATTATTTAACAAATGTAAAATAATGAGCTAAGGTAGTTTTTTTTTTTTTTTTTTTTTTTTTTTTTAAGCTAAAATAAAGGAGACAATATAAAAGGGACTAATACAAATAAGGTAGTAGGTTGGTAGACAGCAACCACCCAGGGAGGTAC